ATGCGGAATGTTTGTTCTGTAGAGTTATTGGTTCTTATTCCTTACGCAGTGCATATTTCTCTGTTTCTTCCGCTCAGGCAGCCGACTAGCGTTAAGCGTCCGGCGCTGCTCCATTGCGTTCTGCATTGTTTTTTTCAGTGTTGGCCGAATGCTACAGTTTTTTTTCTACCTTTTTTGGAAGGGCAGCTGTCCCGCCGCTGGATGTAAGCTTTGAATAAGCTCACTGCGACTGGCGAGTAGATTTATCCTATATCCAGGTACTCGCATGTTTGAAGGCGGAAGGCTATGCTACAAACCGCAACATATGTTGCTGTGCCTTCAGTGCCGTCTGCTGCTGCTGCTCGTGCAGCAGCAGCAGCTCGCTCGTGCCTTTGCTACTACGGCGGATCGTTGGCCCCTAATGCATCCGCAGCTATTTCAAAGCGGAAAGGCCTTCTGCAGCAGCAACAGCAACAGCAGTAGCAGTAACAGAAGCAGCAGCCACAAAACCTCAATCGGGAGCTCTTTCCCCCTCACCAACTGCAGTTCGATGAATCTAGTCTTGCTTCTGCCCAGCGAGCAGCAGCGACAACAGAAGGGGCAGCAACAGCGGCCGGAGCACGTTTGAGGAACCTTTTCGTGCCTCTGTGTGCGTTGTCGTCGTGCTGGGGGTCGCACACCTTCCCGCGCCACCTGCTGCTGCTGCTCTTGCAAATGCTGCTGCTGATGCTGATGCTGCTGCTGCTACAAATGCTGTTGCTGCTGCTTCTTAGGGGAGATGGAGAAGCCTTCGTAGCAGCATCATCTCCAGACCATGTGGCCTCCTCAGCAGCACAAGAAGTCCTCGATATGATACTGCAATCGCCAGGGGGGCCAACGAAGATGCACTGCCGCCTTAGGGGCTCCAAAGGTCATATAGGAGGCCGCAACAGCCAAAGGGGGGCCACGAATGCCACGGGGGTCTCCCCAATGCCATACGGGGTCCCATCCGACAGCAGGGCCCCCAAGGGCGCAGAGGGCTCTTAATGGCATCAAAGGGGTCCCCAAATGATGAGGGGGGTCACCAAGAGTATTGGGGACCCTCAAAGCACCTCTGAAGTGGCTATCGGGGACACCCAGATGATTCCTAAACCCTGAAACCAAGATGGCACAACTACTACCAGTCGTCAAGGTCTTGCGCTTAAGGTTTCGGGTTAAGGGGGTGCTTGTAGGAGGCACCGAAGGACGTGAAGGAAGAAATAAGGAGACGACGAGCAGTTCGGCGCCAGCATATTTCTTCTTTCTATTCTTCGCTTGTCTCTTTCTTTTTGTTTTTCTTCTTCTTATTGTCTGTCTCTTTCTCTTCGTTTGTCTCCTTTTTATTGTTTGTCTGTGTGTTTGTCGTTATTCTGTTGCCGTTGTGCCCCCTCCGATCGGTTGCTTCTGTTGCTCCCACTGGTGCTGATGTTACTCCTGCTGCGGCTGGTGCTGGCCCTGATGCTGCTGCTGCCGCCACTGTTGTTGTAGCTGCTGTCGCCACTGTTTCTGCTGCTGTTGCTGCCACTGCTATTGCAGCTGCTATTGTGGCTACGATTGGCACTGTTGCCGCTGCTGCCACTCTCATTGCTACTGCTGTTGCTCTCTTATGTGTCTAGTTTCTGCTGCTCGTCGTTTACAGAATGCCCTCTCTTAGAATTGCCTTGATGGGGCCAGCAGCCTACA